CATGCGTGTGAACGCATCTCAAACTAAAAGTCCAGTGCCTTCTCGTTCTCCTGCTCGCTGCTCTCTTCAGATTACGGGAGAAGAAGCAGAGAAGGTGGAGAATTTCAAGTACCTCGCTATCGTATTTAATTGGAGGAAGAGATCGACTGGCGAACTGGAGTAGCCCGTGGCGTTCGCGTCAACTAGCCTGATCCATTGTGACTAAAGCAGAGAAGCTCAGTCTAAACTCTAAGCTCTCAGTGTTAAAGTCGATCTTTATCCCCATGCTTACCTATGGTCATGACTCGTGGACGACGACTGAAAAGCTTCGAACCCGGATACAAGTTGCTGAAATGGGCATTCTCAGCCTAGTCGCTGGCGTTACGTGTCACGACATGGTCCGGAATACTGGCTTCCGGAAGGGCCTTGATATACGGCCTTAGTTTCTCCAGAATAAAAAGTCAAACCTGCGACGATCTGGGCATGAGTTGAGAATGACTCGAGGAAGGAACGCCAAACAACTCTTTCTTGCGAAACCGACCAGTAGAAGGCCCAGGTGAGGGCCAAGATTAACCTGGTGAAATATATCGAAGGAGTCTTTTCTAGACTAGTCTGCCGAAGCTCAGACTCTGGCTCAGGATCGGGAACGTTGTAAGGTCTGTATGACGTGTCTGCCTCCGCGACCCGAAAGGAAAAGCGGTCATTGAAGACGATGATGATAATAATACAGTAGATATACATCACCAAACTGATAGTCTCAAACTTGATTCATTATTACTCTGTTATAAAGCTTATTATAACAATGCAAACAGATATTTAGAGAGTCTATTATCTAGCTTTATATCAAACATATTAATCAGAAACGCACTTTCGAAATGAATTACATGGCGCTCAATCGGTAAAAAAAGCTACAAGATACGCTATGATATGCATGTTCAGTGAATTCACTATTACATCCAAACGGTAAGCCTCTATAGAATTGTGCGTGATCAAACAAACGCAAATGCAAAAATACACTAGTAACGGCGCGGAATGGCACAGTTGGAATTGAAATTATCGATGGGACAAAAGCCGCGACCTTGGTTTTGAAACAGGGCGTCAATGATGTAGCAGATTTTATGACAGATTTGCGTATCGCTGATTCTGATTGGATCATAATTGTATTGACTTTTTCGTATCACAGTTCTTCGCAGGAAAAGAGTACAAATTTTATAATAATGAAATGTTTGACTTCTGTAAAATACTGCGAACAAAAATTTTAGTTTTTTAGCGTATTTAAGGTATTCGAGGGTGAATTAAGGGATAGATTAGATTAAATGTATAGCAGTCGCAGCGGCTGAAGTGCGTTCTGTTCCAATGCAGCCGAGAATTCTGTCATGCTAATATTTCATTCTATGGGTAGTTGTTTGGATTTTAATTTTTCTTCTGCAGCGGATAATTCTAGCAACGAGTTTGTGATCGATTGACAGCTTTTCGATCTTTCAATACGAACATCCGTTGCAGAGAGGCGGTTGTCAAATCAGCCATTACCCTTTCTCATATCTAATATGCACCAATAATCATAATTAATGCTCAATGGCTAACACTTGTGCGCAATATTGTCAGTGCATACAAATGTTAGCGAACTCCAGAACTAGCGTTTGGATAATCATCGAAATGGATCGTGATTTCTAAAGGTTACACATGAATTTCGGATACTCATATGTTATCCTCCGAGTAACAACAAAACAAAAACAATGATTTATCGTTCCCAAATTCTCTCGTTGCTAACGTCTCTTCCTCCTACGTTCAGCATAAGAAAATAGGTCAATAAGGGGAACAAATAAGCCTCCTCTTGCATGGTATATTGAAGTGATGTACTCATTACCGA